CAGATGGATCCAGCAGTAACAACCGTAATGACATACAGCGGCAGGTGTGTGTGTGTGTGTGTGTGTGTGTGTGTGTGTGTGTGTGTGTGTGTGTGTGAGAGAGAGAGAGAGAGAGAGAGAAGGAGAGAGGGGGTGGGGGTGCAGGTCGAGTAGAGGGTGGGAGAGAGAAAGATATAGCGCGGGCACTATGGCCACCACGTCGACGTCGACCCTCTTACCCCGCGGCTGGGCGGCGCCGGCGGCGTCCCCGCTCTGCCGTCGACGTCGAACTCTGCCGCACTCTTCTTGCGAATCATGATACGCCGCGGGCCGGTCTGTACGGTCGCGCGTGGAGCCGAGTGCGCGACGTGGCGTGGTGTGGCGTGGCGGGGCGCGGGGCGCGGAGGTGCGGGGGCGCGGCCGGCCGCCCGGCTCGGATTAGATCGCGGAGGCGCAGCAGAGGCCACCGCGCGCTGCTCGGGACTCGTGTGGCTGCTTTACGCGCTGCGCTGCGAGCCTCGCCGGCCGCCGTCCGTGGCGCCGCGCTGTTTCGACAACTACTGACAGACAGCGGCGGCCAGGCCACGGAGCCGAGAACCTCTCTCAGCCCTCTCAGCAGCGCCCGGCCGATCTGCAGCCGGCGGGAGCGCGCGGGAGCGCGCGGGAGCGAGCGGGAGCGAGCGGGGAGGAGGGACAACGCTTTCTACCGGCGGCGCGGGCCGGGCTCCGTCCCCTCCACCCGCTGCAGCCGTGCCGGGTAGGCAACCGGCGCGCAGCCGTGCGTCTCCGCGGCTCGGTTGCCTACCTGCCGGGCGCTCCGGCCTGGCGCGGCCAACGAGCAGCTTCTCCGAACTCCTGGGGGGCCCGGTGAATCTCAGGCCCGATCCACTCCAGAGACGGAGAAAGGGGGAGCACAACATGCTTGCGCAACCGAGCACAACAACGCCTAATCAAAATCAAACCGTGGAAAGAATACTGCTCCGAGGATGGAAAAGACAGCCACTTCGAGAGGGGGGTGGGCCGTAGAGATCGGGCACTGATGAACAAGATATCTCTTTTTGACAAAATACCCCTTTTGTTTTCGTCTTTGCGGCAAATTGACCCCTTCCTTCCCTCCCTCCCTCCCAGCCGAGAGATAGCACTTTAACGAACGGTCTGCCAGATAAGAATTTCGTCGTACTTCACGACACGTGCACCTCCGTTTCCCGACCCTTCCGAGCCAGTCAGACTCGCGGGCACGGCACGAGGCGCAGCGCACGACCACAACCGGCACGACCCCGTAAAAATAGCCATGTTTACTCGTGCATTTCGTGGCGAGGCGCGGTAAAAAGGGGAACAATATGGGACAGGACCTGGCCGGGCGCGCGGGTCAGCAATCGCAGCGACGCGGCGCTGCGCCGCGTCACCGGCGTCAGCAGCATCATTGGCGTCACACACACACACACACACACACACACACACACACACACACACACACACACACACACGCTGACGTCTGACGTTCCCCGCCGCCGACCCGAAGCCGAAGTCGACGGACAGAACCGGACGCGAACATGGCCGCGCAGAGCGCACGACCGCCCCGACCCACCCGGCACGGCCCGACCCCCGCGCCCGCGTCCAACATCACGTGCAGCCTAACGTGACAACGCACTGTCAACACACACCGTCTCACTCGCACCCACCCAACCACTCTGGTGCCCCCCCTCTCTCTCTCTCCATTTCTCTCACTAGCTCAATCACTTAAGCATGCAGTCACTCAATCGCCAATCACTCAATCTCCAAATCACTCAACCACCAATCACTCACTAAATCACTCAATCACTCGCCCAATCACTAAATCACTCGCTCACTTACTCCCTCAATCACTCCCTTACTCCCTCACTCACTCCCTTACTCCCTCACTCACTAAATCACTCAATCACTTACCCAATCACTCGCTCACTCACTCCCTCGCTCCCTCCCTCACTCAATCACTCACAATCACTTTGAAATACACAACGGCCACGCCGGTAAGTCACACACCTCGCGGTGCTCCCGGCGGCTGGAGATGTGCAGGGGCAGTTGCAGCGGCAGCGGCATGGGGGCGACGAGGGCGGTGCGGTTGTCGAGCCCGTGGCCGTGCTGGGCGCCCTGGTGGTGCGCCGGGTGCAGGTGGAGGCGCTCGTGGGCGGCGGCGGACACGGCCAGCATGGGCAGTCGCGGCAGCGGCAGGCTCTCGGTCACCATGGCGCCGCCGAGTGTCTGCGGCAAGCACGACGCGGCACTTGTTGACGAGGGGGTTGCGAAGGAGCGCGGCGCGGAGGGGGGCGCGGCGGCGGCGACGGCGTTGCAATGTTTTGTGCCTCACGCGGCGGTCCGCGTACTTGTGACTTGGGCAGGGGCGGGGCGTGGCGTGGCGGGGTGGAGCTCGGCGCGGCGATGACTGCGTGACCGCGGGCGCATCGTATCTGGCGGCGGCGGCACTGGCCCAGCCCGCCCGAGCCGTCGCGAGAGCTGCGCCTCTGCGCCCGGCGTAGAGGGGAGGGGGGCCAGGCGGGGCTTCGGCAGGCCGGCGGGCCCCACCGCGCCCCGCCCCGCCCCGCCACACCGCGGGGTCACGTTCCTCTCCGCGTCGCCTCGCGGCTCACGTGGACCCCGACCTGCTCGGGCTGTGCGGTGGAGGCGACGGAGGGGACGCCCGCGCTGCACCCGTCCGATGCACGTGTGTGGTGCACGGCATGCACAGCCGGAGGGTCGCCACCCTTGAACGTCATCTTTCCCACGACGGCTGGCGGTAAACATGTGGGGCACGCGGAGGGAGAGGGGC